TAACCCTTTCTTGAGTGATGGGAAACCACAGCTTCTGCTCTGGAAGAAAGCAGAAGTGTGTTTGAGTTTGGGGAAGAAGTGGTGAATAACTGAACTTTTTGATGGATTTTATAGAAAGAATAAAAATATGTGCTTTTTAAATATATTCTTTTCTGAAGTCATTATTATACCTTGAGTACTTTCTCTGGGACTAAGCCTGTGCCTTGTAATGAGAAAGACACAAAAGTAATGTGTAATGACAGCCGCAATCATAGGGGTTTCCTTCTAATCGATGGTAGACAATTACACAAGATTGTCTGTGATTAAAAACCCAAACTGCGCTGGAAGGGAAAATTGTTGTGGAATGTCAGGGAAGAAGGAGATCCACACAGGTAATCAGGAGCTAGTAGCCATTTGTTGAATTTAATTGTGGATGTGAAATTTGGATTGTTAAGAAGTCAAGACAGGCCCTTGTTCTAGGCAGACACAAACCATGGACTGAGCTCAGAATTTAGGGGAGAACATGTGAGTCTTCACTGGAGAGTAGGTTGGAATTTCGCAGATGGAGACAAAGATGGATAATTACGGCCTGGGACAATTTTGGAGGTGTTTTGAGTCAGGCTTAGAGATCCAGGTTTTAAGCAAACAAATCGGTCTTTGGGGTGTGTGTGTGTGTGTGTGTGTGTGTGTGTGTGTGTTTCCAGCAGTCCTTGGTAGGTGTTTGTGTTTAGAGCTTCCAGAGCAAGGTACTGCCTTTGAGAGCTTCTGCTTACTTTTCTAATGACCGGAACCAGGAAGAGGTGAAGCTTGGTCATTACACAATGCATTGTGACTCAGTGACCTCACTACTTCCTGTTTTCATTTGAGAAGGGGGCCAATGGAAGGGGCCGTTTCAGTGCAAGGCCATGAATAGGGACTAGGAGATATCAAGGATGTGAGGTCTACCAGACTAGCAGGCAGAGCATGCGTGTAAACCAGCAGACCAATGAAGGAGTTGAACTCTAGTGGAATGGCAGCGGTGGCCCAGTGATCTATGAGCAGGTCTAGGAATTGAGAATTACTCCTACTTCTGAATCGCGTGTGATTTCTCCTAACCTGTGTCACCAGCCAATCCTGGTTGTGAATTCATAGCCTAGTTCATAAGCTCAATAGTAAAATAAATTCCAACATACTTTGTCCAGGCTTCTGTGCCAGGAGTGCAGGAGAGCTCTACTTGGATGACTTCCTTCGTCAAAGAGAGGCCACTGGAAGACGGGTGGCTGGACATGTGCTCCTCCCTGCTCACTGATAGGTTGACTGTGATATCAGCCAAGCTGCAGGTGCACGGTGCACTGCAGGCTCAGGGAAGAGCTGGGAAGAGCCGGGAAGACCCGCCACGGGCAATGTCAGGGACACCTTTCTTCCCTGTGGGATATACTGATGGATTGAGTGACTATCCATTCATCAGTGTGGATGGTCACTCATCAGGCCTGCAGAGATGGGAGCCTTATGGGTTCGTTGAATTGTCAAGACCATGGCTAGAGCTGAATCTCTAAGGGGGTTCTTTTTTCCTGGAAAGATGTAGTTCCCTCATCAGTAGAGTGAGAGTAAGAAGTAAATCTACTTAAAAAAAAATCCAGCTTCCGTCAAGTGTAATTTACATACCATAAAATCCACCCATTTTAAGCATATAATTTAATGATTTTTAGTAAATTTACAGAGTTGTGTAAATATCACCACAACCCAGTTTTAGGATGTTTTCACCTCCCCAAGAAGCTCCTTAGGACCTTTTGTGGTCAATCACCATTCCCTCCTCACAGCCCCAGGCAACCAATAATCTCCTATACTGCCTTTGATAGATTTGCTTAATTCTAGACATTTTGAATAAATGGTATCATAAACTACGTGGTCTTTTGCATCTGGCTGCTTTCCTTTAGTGTAATGTTTTGAGGTTCATTCACATTGTAGTATGTGTCTATATTCCATTTCTTTTCATTGCTGCATAGTATTCCATTGCATGGATATACCATACTTCATGTATCCTTCCATCAGTTAATAAATTATTTCCATTTTTTTGGGCTATTGTGAATAATGCTAGTGTACTAGATTTCAGTGGCTGCTGTGACAAATTATACACTTGATGTCTTAAGACATTAGGGGTTTATTCTCTCACAGTTCTGGAGATGGGAGTTAGGGAGTCAAGGTACAAACAGGGGTGTGCTCCCTCTGGAGACCCTCAGGGAGATTCCATTCCTTGCTTCTTCCAGCTTCTGGTGGATGCTGGCCTTTGCTGACTTGCGGTCACGTCAGTTCAATCTCAACCTCCATCTACACGTCAGCTTCTCTCCAGTGTGTCCTCTCAGCTCTCTCTCTTTCTCTCTTGTAAAGATATATGTGATTGCATTTTTTAAGGCCACCGTGATAATTCAGGGAAGACAACTCCTCTCAAAATTCTTGTCACTGGCCATTAGAAAAATGCAAATAAAAACCACAGTGAGATACCATCTCACACCAGTTAGAATGATGATCGTTAAAAAATCAGGAGGCCAGGTGTGGTGGCTCACACCTGTAATCGCAGCACTTTGGGAGGCTGAGGTGGATCACGAGGTCAGGAGATCGAGACCATCCTAGCTAACACCGTGAGACCCCCATCTCTACTAAAAATACAAAAAAAAATTAGCCAGGCGTGGTGGTGGGCACCTGTAGTACCAGCTACTGGGGAGGCTGAGGCAGGAGAATGGTGTGAACCCGGGAGGTGGGGGTTCCAGTGAGCCGAGATTGTGCCACTGCACTCCAGCCTGGGCAACAGAGAGAGACTCTGTCTCAAAAAAAAAAAAAAAGTCAGGAAACAACAGATGCTAGAGAGGATGTAGAGAAATAGAAAAGTTTTTACACTGTTGGTGGGAGTGTAAATTAGTTCAACTATTGTGGAAGACAGTGTGGCGATTTCTCAAGGATCTAGAACCAGAAATACCATTTGATCCAGCAATCCCATTATTGGGTATATACCCAAAGGATTATAAATCATGCTACTATAAAGACACATGCACATGTATGTTTATTGCAGCACTATTCACAATAGGAAAGACTTGGAACCAACCCAACTGCCCATCAATGATAGACTGGATAAAGAAGATGTGACACATATACACCATGGAATACTATGCAGCCGTAAAAAAGGATGAGTTCATGCCCTTTGTAGGGACATGGATGAAGCTGGAAACCATCATTCTCAGCAAAGTAACACAGGAACAGAAAATCAAACACCACATGTTCTCACTCATAAGTGGGAATTGAACAATGAGAACACAGGGACACAGGGAGGGGAACATCACACACTGGGGCCTGTCAGGGGTTGGGGGCCTAGGGGAGGGATAGCATTAGGACAAATACCTAATGTAGATGATGGGTTGATAGGTTCAGGAAACCATCATGGCACGTGTATACCTACGTAACAAACCTGCACGTTCTGCACATGTATCCCAGAGCTTAAAGTATAATTAAAAAAAAAAAATCCTTAACTTAATCAACTCTTTTGCCTTACAGGGTAACATACACAGGTTCCAGGGATTTGATGTGGATTTATTTTGCGGGGGGCACCTTTACAGCCCGCCACCACAGCTCTGAACATTCACATGAGGTTCTTATGTAGACACATGGCTTCATTTGTCTTTGTAGGTACCTAGGAATGGATTGCTAGGACCTATGGTAAATTTATGTTTAACTTTTGAGAAGTTGCCCAGCTGTTTTCAGAAGGGGCTGTACCATTTTACATTCCTACCAGCAATGCAGGAGAGTTCTAGTTTCTCCACATTCTTGCCATTTGTCTGCCTTTTCTTTTTTCTTGATCACAGTCATTCTAGTGGGTGTGGAGTGGTATTTCACTGTGGTTTTAATTGGTATTTCCCCATGACTAATAGTGTCGAACATCTCTTCATGTGCCTGTTAGCTATTCATACATACTTTTTGGCAGAATATCTGTTCAAAGCTCTGGCCTGTCTTAAAATTGGGTTGTCTTCTTTTTTTGAGTTATGAGTTAGTCTGTCGTTTTTCACAACCTGGCCCAGCCATTGCCAGTTCTAAGGACTGTGGTGGCTGAGGTCACCTTGACTAGGAAGTGCTGCGGTAAACCCAGTTGCCCAGGGTGCCTTGGGCTGGGGCCAGGCACCGTCCCTGCACCGTGCCCTGTGTCAGTTTGTCACTGGAGGGTGGATGGGCCTCACAGGTGGCCTTTTGCCATCAGATACTGTGTTATGGAAGCCGGGACATGGCTTGCCTGTGTCCTGGAGATCATTAGTTCCGTGTTCTTGCAGGCTGGCTGTTGTCTGATGAACAAGGGCACTGACCAACAGAATCCCACAATGTATTCTCATTGTAACCTGATTGTTTCTTTCCTAACACTTATCACAACTTTAACTAGTTATTTCTGTGATTATATATTTGATATCTTTCTTCCTTCCACTAGACTGTTAAGTTCCTTGGGGACGGGGCCATGTTGATGTGATATGCCCCTCTATCACTGGTCTCTAACACAGTTCGTGATATGTAGTAGGCAATTGATCAATATTTGTTGGATGGGGGAAATGAGGATCCATTCTCTGCTTTACAATGGTTAATTCACATGAAATTATTAAATAGAGAGTTGTTTGTTGACCGAATTGTTCACTAACCCCTGCATGTATCTTTAGTGACATGTATTCTTTTTTTTTTTTTTTCCGAGATGGAGTCTCATTTTATCATCCAGGCTGGAGTGCAGTGGCGTGATCTCGGCTCCCTGCAATCTCTGCTACCCAGGTTCAAGCAATTCTCCTGCCTCAGCCTCCCAAGTAGCTGGGATTATAGGCGTCTGCCACCACGCCCAGCTGATTTTTGTATTTTTAGTAGAGATGGGGTTTCACCATCTTGGCCAGGCTGGTCTTGAACTCCTGACCTCGTGATCCACCCACCTCGCCCTCCCAAAATGCTGAGATTATAGGCGTGAGCCACTGCGCCTGGCCAAGTGACATGCATTCTAATTTGCCTTTTTTATTTCTCATTTCCAGCGATCTATAACTACAATGCTTCTCAAGATGTGGAGCTCTCCTTGCAGATTGGCGACACAGTTCACATCCTGGAGATGTACGAGGGTAAGTCTGGCTGGCCTTTTGCCAGACGAGGGCAGGGGAAAAACAATGTGAGTTACTTATTAAAAAGGCACTTTGAGTAAACATCAACATGCTTGACTTCCTGAAACAGTGCTAGTAAAAATTCAGGAAGTACTTGGGTGACACAATTTTGAACAGAGTGATTTCAAAACCGCCAGCTGAATACATGAGCACAAACCTGCACAGACACCAGAGTGAAAGCTCATGCATATGTGAAGGGCGCTGGTGTGGCCAGGCCACTTGGGCACAGAAGGATCAGCAACACAGCTGGCTCGCGAGGAGACACTTGGGACGTTGGGCTGGCAGTAGCTCAAAGGAAGCACTGCTGATTAAGGGTCTGTTTCTATTCAGCACTAAATGTTCCCAGGTTGGGGGAGAAATGAGGGAGAGTCTTTCTGGTGTTGCTGAGATTCTTTTAGAAAATTAGGTCAGGACTGCAGCAGGTCCAGAAAGCCTGATTGTATATTTCCTTCAACTAGGTCAGACTAGGGCCGTGGTTCCGTTAACCTGTTAGAGGGCTGTGGGGTAGTACTTAGGACTGCCTATTTGTCTGCAAAGCACTGGTCATGTCCGTACCCACTCCACTGCAGGCTTCCAACTTCAGCTCAGGTTCTCTAAATCCTAGAAGTCTTCCTCTATATAGCCACATTTTTAATCCAAACCTCCAGAGCACAACAAAAGCATAGCCAGGCCACTGAAGTTGAGGACCAAACCAAGAACAACTTCTATGGTCCAGTTATTCTCTCAGAAGGTTAGGGTACAAATGAGGTGGAAGTTAGGCAGATTTGACAGGCACCATGCATTTTCCAGGTGTAGCCCCCATGTAAACCCCTGTGATGGTGAAATGGCAGAGATGGTCCGCTAGAACCCCATGCAGATTCCTAGGGTGGAACAGGATGACACAGGATGAGAAAGAGGAGATGGGAAGGCAGGAGGAAAGGAAGCAGGATTTGGCCATAGAAGAGCTAAATTATCTGCCTGGTTGCATGGAAGACTCTGCTATTACTGCTGCCTCCCTTCAGTTTTTGGCAGAGAGCTGGGGTTTCACATTATCCTTTTCCCTTCCACACAGCTCAGTGTAATCGTGTAGCTCCCAGGGGCAGAGAGAAGACAGAGAGGGCTGTGTGAACTCCTCCCTTTCTCTCTCTACTGCTTATTCTCACCGTCTCAGGCCCAGCCAAGCATCAGTTCAAAGTCTCCAAGACACTAGGGCAGTAACCTTATCTTTTCCAGAATCCTTTGCTTATGGAAACCACAGCTCTTCCAGTCTTATCAGCTCATACCTCTTTTGTCAGGAGGCCAGGTCAATTCACTTTGTCTAGCCTCAATGGATGCACATTTTCCTATTGTGCGGGTAAAAAGCGTGTGTTCAGTTTTTCTAACTCTTCCATGTGGGCTTGGAAAGAATGTATATTTAAGGAGCACTGGGTGCAAAGTTCTTTTTTTTTTTCTTGAGACAGAATCTCACTCTGTCATCCAGGCTGGAGGCAGTGGCACGATCTCAGCTCACTGCAACCTCTGCCTCCCGGGTTCAAGCGGTTATCATGCCTCAGCTTCCTGGGTAGCTGAGATTACAGGCGTACGTCATCACACCTCGCTAATTTTTATATTTTTAGTAGAGACGGGGTTTCACCATGTTGGCCAGGCTGGTCTTGAACTCCCGAGCTCAGGTGATAGCCCCATCTTGACCTCCCCAAGTGCTGGGATTACAGGTGTGAACCACCATGCCTGGCGGCAAAGTTCTATATATGATAATTAGGTTCTAATTTCTGAGTCATTTTTCAGCTTTGCTGTATGCTAACTTTTTTTTCTGCTTTTTCTGTTATTGATAAAACTGTGTTAACTCTTCCACCATGATTGTAGTTTGTGTGTCTTTACAGTGATGTCAGCTGTTTGCTTTATGTATTCTGAGACTTGTTTTTAGGTGCCTGCTATTTTAGAATTGTTGTGTTAAACAGTTCTAACTTTTAATTCCTATTTATTAAACCTTTACCATTGTCTTAATCGGTAGTAACATACTATGTCTTACTCTGTGTTGTGGAAAATTGCAGCCAACTCACTGGCAAGTCCCAGGGCTTCAGTTTTTGTCCTCCTGGCTCCACAAGGCCGTTAAAAATGCTGCTCAGCTTCTCAACCACTCAGGAATCCTTTCTTTCTTTGTTTTGTTTTGTTGCGTGTTTTGGAGACACAGTCCCGCTCTGTCCCCCAGGCTGGAGTGCAGTGGCTCAATCTCGGCTCACTGCAAGCTCCGCCTCCCGAGTTCAAGTGATTGTCTTGCATAAGCCTCCCGAGTAGCTGGGATTACAGGCACCCGCCACCACACAGGGCTAAGTTTTGTATATTTAGTAGAGACGGGGTTTCCCCATGTTGGCCAGGCTGGTCTCCTGGCCAGCTCCTGACCTCAGGTGATCCGCCCGCCTCCACCTCCCAAAGCGTTGGGATTATAGGCGTGAGCCACCGCACCTGGCCATAAATTCTTTCTTTTCTTTTTTTTTTGAGACGGAGTCTCGCTCTGTCGCCCAGGCTGGAGTGCAGTGGCCGGATCTCGGCTCACTGCAAGCTCCGCCTCCCAGGTTCACGCCATTCTCCTGCCTCAGCCTCCCGAGTAGCTGGGACTACAGGCGCCCTCGCCGGCCAATATTTTGTATTTTTTAGTAGAGACGGGGTTTCACCATGTTAGCCAGGATGGTCTTGATCTCCTGACCTTGTGATCCGCCCGTCTCGGCCTCCCAAAGTGCTGGGATTACAGGCTTGAGCCACCGCGCCCGGCCAGGAATTCTTTCTTCAATCAGCAGATGGATGCCCCAAGCAGAAAGCAGGCCCAGATGCTGGGCTGGTCTTTTTAGGTTTTGGTCTTTTTCAGATTTTGACCTGGTAATTCTTCACTGCCGTGTTAGTTCGTGTGTGTGTGTGTGTGTGTGTGTGTGTGTGGCGGGGGCAGGGGAGCGGTGTATGTATTTATTTGTGTGTGTTGTTTTGTCAAGCTTTTCTAATTGTCCTACAGAGTGTGGGAGGGAAGAATGGCGACTTGGTCTGAAATTAAGTAGGTAATGTCTTATGTTTTTTGGGTTTTTTTTCTTTGAGACAGGGCCTTGCTCTGTCACCCTAGCTGGAGTACAGTGGTGTGATCAAAACTCACTGCAGCCTTGAGCTCCTGGGCCCAAGCTATCCTCTTGTCTCAGCCTCCCAAGTAGCTGGGATTATAGGCATGTGCCACCATGCCCAGTTAACGAGGTCTCACCAAGTTGCTTAGGCTGATCTCAAACTCCTGGCCTCAAATGATCCTCCTGCCTCAGCCTTCCAAAGTGTTGGGATTATAGGCATGAGCCATAGCACCTGGCCCAGAATTTCTTCAAATTCTTTTTTCGCTTTTATATGACCTCAGGATATTTCTAAGAAATAGTTAATTGAAGCACTTTGTCCTATTAGGGTTCATATCAATAGTAATTTTAAGGATGAAGATGGTGGCTCACTCCTGTAATCGCAGCACTTTGGTAGGCTGAGATGGGAGGATCCCGTGAGGCCTGGAGTTCAAGACCAACCTGGGCAAAATGGTGAGACCCTGTCTCTACAAAAAATTTAAAAATTAGCCAAGCGTGGTGGCATGCACCTATGGTTTCAGCTACTTGGAAGGCTAAGGTGGGAGGATTGCTTGACCCTGGGAGGCAGAGGCTGTAGTGAGCTGACCATACCACTGCACTTCAGCCTGGGCAACAGAGTGAGACCCTGTCTCAAAAAGAAAAAAAGAAAGTATTTTTAAGCGTGCTGACTGTTTACGCTTTACCGAGAGTTCTCCAGTTGGTCAATGAACATTCCTCAAGACAGCATCTGTGTGGACCAAGCTAAGGGGGTCACTGAGCTTAGTTGAATATAAATATAAACACATTTACATTCATTTCAAATACCATGCACTTGAGTCCAAACAGTCCAAAACCCACAGTGCTTCTAGTATATTACAGCTCACACTATGATATGCTTGTAGGATGTGCTGACCCATTTGACAGTCACACAAAAATGGTTAATTTCCTCAGTTACGGTGGTCCAGATGCTGTAGTCCTGCCAGCAAGAAACTGCTCTTCTTAATTGCTACCATAACATTTTTGCTGCATCAGCCATAGAACTTTTTCCTCTCAAAGGATGTCAGTGCCTGTTTTTTAAAAGTAAGCACATGTTAAGGTGTGAAGGGGAGGGAGACTGAGAACACTCGAGTCTGCATCGTGAGCTTACCAAGTTCATTAACCACCAAGTGGCAGGTCAGCTTGACAGAGAGATTACTATATTGGATTATGTTTTTCAATAATGTTTATTTTCTGGGATTACTTTTTAAAATCGTGCCTACCTTGCCAGATGCCCCGTGATAGGTCCTTGTATCTGCTAAGCACTTAGAGTTCTTGGCTGGATTCTCAAATTCCTTTATTATTTAAGGCAGCTCGAGGCAAGGACAGGAAAGCACTTTGCAAACATGAAATGCGATGGGAATGCTGAGTAATCACTTGTCTCCTACCCCTCCTCTCCTCGTCCCTCTTAACTTTAGAAAAATAAACAAAATGAAAACATCAACAGTCCTGCCGGGCAGAACTGAAGGGTGACACTGGCACTGTATTGTGGCCCTGGGATTTGTGTCTTCCAGCTTCCTGTCGGAGCTGACTTTGGGGCGCTCCCTCTGCACCCTGCCCCACCCTGCCCTCCAGATGTCTGCATACCAGATCTGTGTGTGTTTTTCCAGCGTGGACATGAATCCACCCAGACATGAAAATTTTTTTCTGCCCACCGCCCAGGACAGAATACTATTTTTGATTCTCCTTTTTCTCTTTCCTGCTGTGTAGTTGGATGAAAAATTTCAGAAAGTATTGGCTCATTGAAGGCAAAGCTTGCTCCTCCTTCATCTGCAGAGCCTGTGCCTCCCTAGCTCCTGGTATACGGCGGGTGCTCAGCAACTATCTATTGAATGATGAAGATAAAATAGGAGACCAAGGCAAGCT